TGTTTGGTCCTCAAGGTCACTTGATCAGATTATAAAAATGTATCCACCCGATAATTCATTCTCCGGAAAGGCACCTGCTCTTTTCAATAACCTTCACATTGTGAACACTGTCAATGGGGTAGATTGCATTTCATAGCAGAGCGATCAATAATGCACTCGCACTCGCTTTCAGGGGTCATTGAAAGGTCAAAACAATGGACCTCAAGGCTTCCTCTTTTATCCCGACGCTAGTGTGCNTGTGTGTGTGTGTGTGTGTGTGTGTGTGAGAGAGAGAGAGAGAGAGAGAGAGAGAGAGAGAGAGAGAGAGAGACAGACAGAGGGGAAGGGTGAGAGTTGACGAGGGGGGAAGGGTATACGGGATACATGACACACTAACAATGATGAGGTGACCTATAAAGGTGTTATGATTCAGCACGGGTAATTAAAGCAGCATTATAACGGGTTGAGATTCACAATACACATTTTCAGGTGGATCTGTTGTTCTATTATGCTCATATAGGTTTTAGAGATTGGATTATTCCTGTAGGGTAGGATGTTTGTGGTCAGGTTGTGGTCCATCTTTTGAGGGCACAAAAGCATTTTGAAAAACATTTGGAGTTTCTCCTTTTACTAATCTACCTTTTCCTTGCATCTTCACATTCGAATATCCCATTATTGGGTGATTTTTCTCTAATGAAATTTGAAAACCGTATTATTGAGGATTAATCTGAACATTGATTTACCACTTGTTGTTTCAGACATCCGAAGGCACGTGCATCGAATCATGGAACAAAAGAAAGATCAAGTGACCAATCAAATTACCATTCCATCCTCTACCTGCAGCCCAGCGCACTCGTTTACCCGATATGAATGCAGTGCGACACAGACAACAGCTGACAAAGAAAACTGGAGCAGATCCCAAAACTTGAATAGCCGACCTACTTTCCAAACCACCTTTCAGCCTTCCCCTTCGTTTCATCAGCACCAAATACAGCAACAGGGACACACACCAGTTGAACGGATCCCCTATGTACAGATAGAAAAATACTGGAGCGAAACTAATCATCCTCAGAGTCCTTCATGTCATTCCACTGGTAATTCTATTCCCAGTACTAGCCAAAGCAGCAGCAGCAGATCTCGGATTTCGGTGGATAGTGGAATAGATCAGGTTGACCAGTCTATCCACTCCTATTCAGTCTGGAACTTAACCAACGAATTCACCAAGCACGAAGTACCTGAACATCGTTTCATTCGAAATCCGTTCTCTGAAATCCGGGGTACTCACCTGGAGTTGGAAAACAGCCCTGTAGTTCAGATCTCGACAAAACAACTTGTGAGTCCATCGACCGGTCGAAAACTCAGATCCGCACAATCAACTCCGTTATGGAGACCATATTTAGAATAGACAACTGACTATTGTGTTCAGTCGAATGAACGCTGATTTTCTTGACAATCTTGGCGCGCCCTTTGCATTTACCCTAACAGATACACACTCCACCCTTACACTCGTAATTACAATCGATTTAGTTCCCTTTCTATTGCCCGATTTCCGGTGTACATTGAAACTTTTCTAGAATTGGAACTTGCTTGATTCAGACAGAAAAGTTCCGAATCCCGGTTGTTCCTCATACACAGCCCTCATTTATACGCCTAGTTTCATACTTCATCTCAGAGTCTAAACTTATCTTTATACCGTTTTTTAAGTGTACTATTTTTGAACTACAGTTATATTTTAGCATGATACAAGTATTTCACTCTTGTACCGACTTTTACTTCCTTTATGAAATTTTAGGACTGGTGATTATTCTCTATTTGGTAAAGTTTACAAAATAATCTAGTGTCTCTTCGAGGGGCATCAATAGATAGTGTTTCGCATACAAGTCTACGTTGAGCTTGATCGCAGTCAGTCGAATTCGGGATGGGCTGGGTGATAAAATGACACTCAGTAACGCAAGCAGCAACAAAGTGGGTAGCCGAGATCAACAGGAATGACTAGGATTACCCCCCACCCATACACGAACATAATTTGTGTCTTGTGTTGTTCGTTGTGGTGAGTATACTCATCCTCACCATTGAATGTGGAAAAGTTACCTTAACTGCAGTATGCGCGTATGCAGACGCAGCGAAACAATCATTGATACATTAAGAAAACCTGTGTTTGGAACTCCTATGTTCAAATTCATTTACTGCATGGAGTTCAAATGGATACCTTAAGTAGTAGAGGTGCTTACGCTTGTTTCTATTACGATACGCACATCATATGTTATCGCATGCCAGTTTGACCTGCTTTCGTCATCCCTAGATCTTTTGGTGAGCACGTATACTTGGTCAGTTTTGTGTTCCCGATGTGTCCTATAGATACTGCGTCGGTTCTGAATTAGGTGATTGGATTACCATGCTTTTCCGCTAAAATGGAGACCACGATGCGCTGATTAGAGGCAGTCTATCCGTAAAATTTAACATGGCATGCTGGGTTGCCAAACCTTTACGTTCCTAAAGCTTGTCCTATTAGTGTTTTTAGAAATCGAGTGCTGTGACTACTCACGAGTGTCAGTTGAAAATACTGAGTACTGGTGACTGACTTGCAGTTATCGATTTTTGAGCAAATGCTGCATTGATTCTGCTTGAACAAAAGCTAAAAAGAAAATAGTTACCTCTCGAACATACTTCACGTGTTAGAGTATACGCGGTATGTGTTGTTCACTTATGGTTTAGTTTCAGAAATCGATTTTTTGTTCTAGCTATCTGATTTCCATCTGATAAAACTCAATTGCTCTAAAGAGGTCAATTTTTATAGATTTTATTTTGTAGTTCTCATTTGTAGTGATTTAAACTGGAAAACGGAATCGAATGCCACCCACACAAAAATGAAAAAAGTCAGTTTCCGGATCTCGTGGTCAATGAACTGGGATAATATGTCATAGTGCCTCCCTTTCACACACGACCTGTAGGCTTTTTGTTTCATTGTTTGACTGGAGAGCAGATGAAGGTTTTATTTGGGGGGGGGCTCGTCAGGGTGGAGAGACGGAGAGAGCATCATTGTTGAACGGCACACAACTTTGTGGATTTGAGCAGGAAGTAACTTGTGTCTGTCTCTATGCACGCACGTAGATCGGTCGGTGCTCTGAACCGGGGATAGTCGCAAATACGTGCGTGTGTGTGGTCGAACAACTTTCCTGTAATGTTCCAGGTAATGTAACAAGTCCGGAGGGGATTCACGTTTGTCAGTCTAACTGTAGTTGCACGGACATTCCTGGTTCACTCCGACACGTGTCCGGAGAATCGGGTTCACATGAGAACAGTGTATGTTCGAATCGTGCGAGCTGGACGTTGAAAAAAAACGAAGTTAACATAGCGTTGAGCGGGATGGTTGGATTCAGAATCGGCTTCGGTCAAATGCAATGTGTAAAGTTTTACATGCATATATTCTAACCGATGACGGTGTACCATAGATGACGGTTTCATCAATTGTCGAGGCTAAGGTGAGCAATAAGAGAAAGGATCGCTTTAGTCGCCAAATTATCTCTCTGGAGAAGGTATGTTCGAATCCCATCACAAACGCATGACTTTCCCTATTCTCTGTTGTACAGCAACCTTTTGTGTGGCTGCCTCCAATTCCTGAAAAGCGTATCCTTGTATATTCAATAAAAGGAAACAAAATAAAAAGACTAAAGAGGATGTCGTGTTCCGAGGTGAAAAGCTCCAACTCACGGATATTATTGAGATCCGATAGTTCAGAAGGAGTGAGTATATCAAAACCACCATACACATTACATTAATCGTTTTATCCAAACCTTTTCATCGACTAAAAGTCAACGTATTGCTCATGAAAAGCAACAGAAAAACTAAAATATTTCGTCCAGTTTGCTAAGCATCCTTAACAATGTCAATCCAACGAACTCACTTGATATGAATCCCATCATGGGGATTTTCGATCGAAGCACCAAACAATTGAACGAACCGGACGCAGTCATCTCATCATGATCTCATCACCGATGAGCAGAGATTTTTTCGTAAAATCCTCCAGTTCTAAACTATGTACTTTCGGGTTCTTCTTCGACTGGAATAGATCTAGAATAATAATTCGTATATTGAGCATAAGATTCAGGACGATCAGTTTTTCAGTAAATGTCGCACAAAATAATTTGATAAATTTTTAAAGGAAGGTTTTGGAGATAATGCGATACAAAAATAAATACAAATATTCCCCTAATTTTTGTGTGCACTCGTTTACTTCGATCAACTGTCCACGTCAGATGACTTCATTGCCTTGAACGCTCGGTGAAATCTATTACATGACGACAGCCCCACCATTATGCACGAGCATTTGAATGTGATGGTTAGCGTTCCAGCTGATACATCCGAATGAGTTTATTATGATTAAACTTGTTATTCTAATGTCTATTATTCCGTTGATTCTCCACTTTTTTTATTAAGTTACCTCCGCGACGGACCAAGCCGGTTTGATGGGTTTATATATGCCACGATTTTACGAATTGGTAGCCCCAGCGATCATCGGTCTTTGTATTCGAGGACGTATCGCTCGTTCTTTTACAGACATGTACTGTCTGTAGGACATAAGGCTGATGGTAGTGACCCTATTCATAAATGGATCAGGCGCTTCATGATTGATCTCATCAGGTAAGTACGTTATGCAGCAGGAAACCCATAACTTTCCTAGTGCAAAATGAAAGAACAGATTAGATATTTTTATTTATTGGAAAATACGAACGTGATCGGAAAGATACATTGAGGAGAGCGTTCCGCAACTCAGCGGGGCGCAGAGGAGCAGATGTGAGAGACTTGCACCAGTCATCTATAGGTAGACTTGTGGTGGCGAAATTAGTATTCGTGGTCGATCGTAGCTATATGACGTTCCAATGACGAGGGAACACAATCTTGGNTAATTTGGTCCAGTTTCCAGTCACACGCCTAGGAGATAAGCTGGAAAACGATAGTGTCAGGTTATATTTATGTACTTTTACGCAGCAATTTCAATATTCATCTTCAAGTAGCGAATCAGTGAATGTCATTGATTGCTTTCTGCAGTTGACTGTGTGAGTGCTGGCATTCTGACGCCATTATAATCTCTTGGTTCACTGTGAATTAGGGATTACAGTTAATCCTTCTTAATGAAGTTGATCTCCGTTGAAAAATAATTTCAATGAAAATATTTTTTAACCGTAATTATTCGTTTCCTGACCACCTTTGAAATGACACACTTGAATTATCGCTCAATCGCTCAAGGGACATCATTTATTCTGTTTGTTTAATCCATTCTGCATTATGTTATTCACTTTTTGGCCGATTCGATAGACATTGAAAAGTAACTAAAGCACTGCATACCTTGAAGAGTAAATGTTAAGCGCGATTTACTGAACTACTACTACTAACGGGGCCAAAGTCATTTTGTAATAGAACAATGAAGCCAATGTGAAACCACTCCTGGGGTTAGCAATAACGGGTTTGTGATTAACTCAAATTTCCGACAGTTAGAGACCAATAATGTTGCACCAGGTGTATTCTGGCTTGAGGTAAATTTTGATTTGGGAGCTGGAGCAGAAATCACATACTGGTTTGACGATTTCATTATACAACCAACCGCGGTCAGGATTGAACGATGATTGTTTGGTAAAAGGGCAATGAGCATAGAATTGCTTACGACCAACCAATTATACATAACCATCCCGAGATTAACCGACGGACTAAGAGCAGAAATTGGAATAGACTAGACGGTATAATGAAATTTCAATCATTTCAATCTAAAAATGGCAAAAGTTGGTTAATAACTGACTCCCGCGACACAAAATTTAATTAATAAATAATGATGTTCACCAACTTTCGAAATATGGAAGCATGGATTAAAGCAGTGCCCACTTGTTTTACGTTTAGGTCTGTAAAGGTAGTTTAGCAAGCAGCGAAAAGTGACAAAGGTCAATTCAAGAGAGGCAGATCAGAATCAAGGGGGTGTCAACACGCTTCGTAACATGGAGCCGAGAAAAGACTGAATTCGGATCAGTGACTGTGATTAGTGAAACAGTCCTGGCTAGGATTGGTGTGGGAAGGTTAGGTGTAAGGGCTTCCAGCTGCAACAGCTTTATCCACATCACCAAATATCATGCACACGCGGTGGGAGTGTGTAGATCTGATCGTGTGTGTGCGTGCGAATATGTTTGTTATGACAATCGAATCATTCATTGCTAATAACTTATAGTTCCCTATTACTACTACCTTTTTAGTATGATTGAACAAAAACTGAGTCGTTTTCTATTTGCCAAAATCAACCAGAGGACACGATGAAATCAATGTCAATCGAGTCTAATAGGGAGATCGTGTTCGCACATCGTGGAACGTTTTCGTAGTTCGGGTAGGAAAAATTTCCACCTTTGGATAGGAACAGAAATACAATAAACACTAGGACATAACACACCTGTGAGTTATCGTGGGTCCTGAAGAAGTATGATATAAAGTGCGACCTGTCAATCATGTGATGAACTATCATGATCTGAGTTTGGTTGCCACGATTGCAACCTTCTAGGAATGGCCCCGGAGCAGTCAAGTTACTTTTCGATACAATGAACCATGAGTGCCCCATACATAGACGTTGAATTAAGTTGCCATGGTGGTATCTAAAGGATAGACTTTAGAATAAGGATAGTGTGGAGACAGGCTGACCTTCGCTATTCTATTGTGCCGTTATTTAGTTTTAGGGTCTTGGTCAAGTGTGCAGTCAAAGTTGAAAAATTCACTGACGGTCCGCGATATCAGAATGAACAAGTGAGAGGAATAAAGATTGCGATCGGTGGAATGCACTAATGCTATTGTGCTCTTTATCCTGAACGGGCCCGCACACGCAAGTAAGTTTCCGCCTTCGCGAACCGACTAACCGATCGGCGCGTGGTGTTCCTGCCAAGTCAGCTGTGAAGTTTACAATCACAGCTGATCGATCGATCTCACGTATCTGAACTACACCCCCAGGATACACTAAAGTACATCCTCGATTTAACTCAACGCGTGCGGATGAGAAATAATGCGGAACTCTGTCCAGATGGGTTCTCAGTCCTATCATTGATTTAGTTCATCGAATGATGATGGTAAGGGTGGAGGGGGAGGGTTGATGGTGCGTCTGAGTTACCCGGTTGTCTGGTTGGTCAATTTGGTGAATGGGTAAGTAGCAGATTGAATGCAGACCTCACCTTCGAATCATCTGTCTGAATGGACCGAAACCTGACACACCTGAAGCATTTGGCACTGGATTATAAACGATGCCACCGATTTGGGACGTGCTACTCTGCTGATTAACTAACCGGCACTTCAATATTTTACCACAAATTAGAACAATCCAACAAAGCACAGTAAGATACTATCAACAGGTCATCATAAACATATCGGAAGACGCGTTACTTAGACATGTGTCAGCTTAAAGTTGGCTGTTCGTTATTTTCCTGGTTCAGCCATGCACTGGATTACAGATTTTAAAGCCTTATTAGAATATTTACATTGACCCCGCTGAAATCGATGAAATCAGTTTGAATACCAATGAAGAGGATTCTGAAATAAATGAGTTGATCAATTCTAGTCAGAAAAATAATCCAGAGTGGGTATAAAATCCAGTACATTATAACTAATGAGGATTGACGTGAATAACATCCTTAAACAGAGAAGTAGAAAGATTGAGATGCATTTGCAGCAGTGTACATTCACAGATCGACGGAGATGAAAAGCTTGATTGCCCATAAGGTCAATGGATATCTACTCAGCCAGATTCACTCAATTCATAAATGAAACGAAGGGTAAAATTCGGTTTCGTTTCCACAATCAGAGATTTTGGTTGGATCAAATTCAAGATTGAAATAGAACTCGAGAAGATGTCGCAGGTAGTTTGATCAGGTTGTTTGTGATTGTGATGTGCTTTAGTCTTTTGGACAAGTAAAAGTTCGTCTGGGAGTGATAAAACATCCCTCTTAGTGACGGTGGACGCATGCAGTGGATAAGTCGGATGAATTATGGAAGCCAAGATAGACGGAAGTCAAAAAAGTACCATGTTTAAATTTAGAATAAGCTGAATTCGAATAATGACAGAGGGAAAGGGAAGAAATAAGAGCGTGAGTGTCTGGACCCAATGATAGTTTTCTTTACTAGAAGCAAAGTGATCTGCTTCAGAATGACCGTTTGCACCGCGGCTACTCTCAATTAGCCTTCATGAAAAAATAGGCTACTGGTTTCTACTGAAGTCAGTTTAATTCATACCAAATACCTAGAGTGTGAGCAATTTCTGCACAAGGAGTGTAGAGGGCGGGGAATGATTGAAAAGCAACTCTGCGATGGAATAGGTAATGAGTGATTCCTTCCGATAGATTAGATATCTGTCAAATTTGATCATATGCAGAAAAATCCAAGAAAAACGCAGGTTTCAGATATGAGTTTTATTAAAGGTCAAAATCTATTATGAGTTTGAATGAGGTCTGAATGAAGACCGGTTATCTAATGGTATCAGTCACTCACGAATAGTATATTGCAAGCATGAACGGAATATACATCAGAGTATACATCGTTTTAATCAGTTGTTTTGTTTCTGTTTGTTCAGAATCTGTAGTCGATGCGACAAACTAATTATTTTCCCGAGACTAAGTGCGAAACTGATTTCATTCTAGAACCAGTTTGATTTTAAACTTCTGATGAGATCAGATTTCAGAATGAAGTTAGGTTCCGCCGATTGTCAGCATGTTCACCTAAATGAATTTACTTATATACTACTTAAATTGTGATATATTTGTGTACTATCATTCAATCTATTGCTTTCAACTAATGCAAGGGAAAGCATTCTTATGGGATGGAGACTGTGGAATCATAGCACATTCCTTATATACATTTATGAATTATCAATCACTCTCTTTACGCTGGATCAGATGTTTTATTCACCATAACTTTCATTTCTTCCAGCAGGATCCCATTTTGGCATAACTAGAACAGATCTGAATTAACAGTATTGTGGAATCTTGGGTAGGATAATTTGGGAGGGGAGGGGGAAGCTGTGAAACCGATGCCCAATTCAACACCCGAGTAGGGATCACAGCTGTCCGATTCGGTTAAAATCATTGGGACAGTTGACCGAGTCAACCGATGCTGACCTCATGACAGGTCACACTTAACGTGACTAGCCGGGGATGCAACATCCTATGCGAGTTATCAAATATCCGCATCTTTGCAGAACGTGTAGGATGACCTGTGGTTCTCGAACAAAATCAAGTGGGGGTGGGACAGGTCCTGGGTTTTGGATGATACGAACATGCGTGGGTTATGTAACATACCAACTTTGGGTGTATGCAAAGCTTGTGATGATCGCTTTGCGGGAATTTCTAAGTTGATAGGCGTGCCCGACTTGATGATGTAATTCCACATGAACCAGGTTACTCAGACCGTCAGCTTGGGATTTGTGTTGGCCAATGAATACCAGAGAGCAGGCTGAGGTCCACCGATTTTCTGACGAAGTGACCTTTGTTGATGTGTGAGTCGGTGAATTCAACGAGAATATTTGAAATCAATCAACCACAGTAGTGCTTTTGGGCAATAG